TAATAATAATAATGACGATGACAATGATAATAATAATAGTAATGATAATAACAATACTGATAATGATAATAATGATAATATTTGATCTATTAAAACAGCATACAAAGAATTCTACAAAATCTATGGTTCTGCAGTTACTGCAAAAACTATTTTTACCTCTATTTGACAGTTTGTAATATGTAAAGTAGCATTTTGGATATTCAGATTAATAGACAAGATATGCAATGTTTCGACAGCTCCACCTGCAGAAAATCGACCCGTATTCCACGCTGTTCGACAACGATGCTCAGAGTCTTGTGTTTGAGGTCAACTACTACGAGGATTACCACGTCCAGGTCAAGGTGAGGCGCCGGCGAAGGGTCAGGGGTCATCCCCGATGGTGGCACACACGCACACACACATACATGTACACACACACACACACACACACACACACACACACACACACACACACACACACACACACACACACACACACACACACACACACACACACACATATATATAAATATATATATATATATATATATATATATATATATATATATATATATATATACATATATATACACAAACATATATATACACATACATATATGTGTGTGTGTGTGTGTGTGTGTGTGTGTGTGTGTTTGTTTGTGTGTATGTATATATATAGAGAGAGAGAGAAAGAAAGAGATCTGTGCATATGCATGTGTTTGTGTGTGTGTGTGTGTGACTGCCCTCACATGATTAAGCAAAAATCCCTCAAATCAAAAAGTTCCCACAGAAAACGGAAATCGGGAGTTCACCTTTACCCATTTTCTTTGAACAGATTTCCCCGAGCGACGGGGAGAGATACGAGGTCCCTGTTCCGCTCAATCTCCCAGAGAATCCAGCTTCAACGGGCCAGAAGTACTTCGTTAATACGAGTGAAGTTGGCGAAACATTTTGGTTTTCTGTTGAGAGAGCGGGTAGCAGCGATGGAAAGAGTCTGTATGTGGTTTTCTTTATTCATTTATACGTAAACACAGAAAAAAACTAAGCACTCTATTTGTGCATTTGTATATTTACACGTACATTTGTTTACATAAAAAAAAAGAATAAAAATCTCAACATACATTTTTTTTTTCTCTTGACCCAGTTTCAGCACAGAAGGGCCCCTTACCTTCGAGGATCAGTTCATCCAGGTGACAGCAGCTCTGACTTCGAGTTACCTCTATGGCTTCGGCGAGAACACACACACGAAGTTCAGACACAGGTTCTCCCCGAGGCAAACGTTCCCCATCTTTGCAAGGGATCAGCCGGTTGGAGAGGTGAGAAGAGAAGGAGGAGAATGAGAGAGAGGGAGAAGGAAAAGGAGAGAGAGAGGGAGAAGGGAGAGAGGGAGAGAGGGAGAAAGAAAAGGAGGGAGAGAGGGAAAAGGAGAAGAAAGGAGAGGGGGAGAAAGAGAGGAGGATGGAAATGGAGAAAGAGAGGGAGAAATAGAGGATGATGTAAATGGAGAAAGAGAGGGAGATATGGATGGAAATGGAGAAGGATGAAGAAGGAGAAGAAGAGGAGCAAGAAAGGCGCAAAGGAGAAAAATAGAGAGGTAGAGGATGGGGGAAAAGGAGAGGGAGGGATGAGAGGAAGCATATAAGGAAAGAGAGCAGTGAAGATAAAGATGGATAATGGCAGAAATAATGGAAGATCGAGAGGAAGAAGAAGAGGAGGAGCGAGAAGTGAAGGGAGAGGGAGGAGAGGGGTAAGAAAAAAGAGAGAAAGGAGAGGGAGGTAGAAAAAGGAAGAGGGAGGAGGAGGTAAGGAAATAGGGTAGAAGAAAGGGAGAAGTGAGAAGATAGACAAAGAAGGAAGAGAGGTAAGAAACAGGGTGGAAAATGAGAAGAAGAAAATAGATAAAAGGGTTGAAAACTTTAGAAAGAGAAGAGAAAGTGAAGGAAAACGTAGGTGAGAATCGAGTGAAGACAGAAAAATGGAAACTGATAAAGGAGATGAAAAGGAGGATATGTAAATCGAGACAAGAAGATAACAATAGAGAAAAATAAGAGGATGTTGCTAGAAAATGTAATATAATAATCAGATAAGGAGAGTGTAAGAAAGTGCTAAGCAACAATTGAGTCAGTATCACCATCACCACTCCATCACATCACAATTACCGCCATTGCTATCACTGTTCGTCACAACCACCACTATTAAAACTAACTGTCATCCCTCTCACCATCATCACAACTCATATCATTACCACTATCATATCATTACCATCATCTGCATCACTACCAAAGCCATCACCATCACCTCCAAAACATTTATCCCTGTTATCCCTATCACCATCATCACCATCACTATCACCATCACCATCCTTTCCCACCACGATCTTCACAATCTTCTTCATTATCACCGTCACCCTAATCATCATCATTTCACCATCAGGGCGACATGAACGAATACGGTCACCATCCCTACTACGTCAACATCGACCCGGAAACTGGCGAGGCTTATTCTGTTCTGTTCTTCAACTCCAATGCGATGGGTGAGGAGTTTGCCTTTGTGTCGTTGGTAGAGTTAAGGGGAATTCATTTACATTTACATTTACATGGATTAGCACACACGCACAGAAACATAAACAGTCTCACACAGACATATACACACATATACACGCGCGGGCGCACACACACACACACACACACACATACATACATATATATATATATGTGTGTGTGTGTGTGTGTAGAAGGGGACAGGAAGATAGAGGGGAGTAGGGAGTTGAAAACATTTTTTCTCTTGTTTTTTAATTCATGAAATGTTAACCTATCTTCTGTCTCTGTCTCTCGTCCTATCTTCGCCTTCTCTTCCTTCGCTTCTCCCTTCTCACTCCCTAAATATATCTCCTTTCTCCTCTCTCCCTTACCCCCCTCTCGTTCCCTAATTACCCTCCTACCCTCTTTCTCCTCCTTCATTTCCTACTACCCCCCCCCTCTCTCCTTCCTCCTCCTTTTTTCTTCCCCTAACACTCGCCTTTTCTCTTTCCCTCCCCATCCCCTTTTATCCGTCCCCCTTCATCCTCTTCTCCTTCCCTCCTCATCTCCCACACCCCTTCTTCCTCCTCCCTCCCATCCCCTTCCTTCTTTCCTCTCCCATCCCCTCTACCCCACCTCCTCCCTCCCCTCTTCCCTTTCCCCCCTCACCCTCTCTTCCCCTCCCCACCCCCTACGTCCCTCCTCCTCTCCTCTCCTATTTCTCCCTTCTCTCATCCCATTAATTCTAACCCTATCATCCTCTCCTCCATTCCTCCTCTCATCCTTTCCTCCTTTTCTCCTCTCCTTCTCTCCTCCTCTCCTCCTTTCCTCCTCTCCTCCTTTCCTCCTTTCCTCCTCTCCTCCTCTCCTCCTCTCCTCCTTTCCTCCTCTCATCCTTCCCTCCTTTCCTCCTCTCCTCCCCTTACCCTCTCCTCCTCTTCCCCTCTCCCCCTCTCCTCCTCTCCTCCTCCCCTCCTCTCATCCTTCCCACCTCTCCTCCTCTCATCCTCTCCTCCCCTCCTCCTCTCCTCCTCTCCTCCCCTCCTCCTCTCCTCCTCTCCTCCCCTCCTCCCCTCCTCCTCTCCTCCTCTCATCCTTCCCTCCTCTCATCCTCTCCTCCTCTCCTCCCCTCCTCCTCTCCTCCCCTCCTCCTCTCCTCCTCTCCTCCTCTCCTCCCCTTATCCTCTCCTCCTCTCCTCCTCTCCTCCTTTCCTCCCTAAACAGAATACTCGACGTTCCTCCTCGCCGACGGTCGCCCTGCCCTGACCCTGCGCTCAATCGGCGGCGTCGTCGACCTGCACTTCTTCCTCGGGCCCAGCTTGGAAGACCTTAATAAGCAGTATACGAATGTGAGGTTTAAATCTTATGTTATTTTTGTGTGTCTGTGTATGCGTATAATGTGTGTAATGAATGTATAGAATTCTATTTTGCACAAGTCATAAAAGAATATCTTTGCAAAGATGACGGTACTTAATCTTCCAGACAACCACAGATGTCATGCAAACCTACATTACAATAATGCTCTTATATTTTTTACTTATTTATTAATTACTTTACATCAAATATTATTTTTAAATAATTTCCACCTCTAGCCTAATAGCGTCATATCTTTTCCACCTCTTCATCAACGTCATATCTTTTCATCATTGACGTCATAATCTTTCCACCAATCAAGATGATCGGTAAGCCTGCCTTCCCTCCCTATTGGTCGCTGGGATTCCACCTCTCCCGCTACGGCTACGGGTCGACCGAAAATATCCGTGTGGTGAGAGAGCGCATGAAGGCAATGGGCATTCCGCAGGTATTTTGAAAGATTCCGTGTTTGAGAATTTGGAATAGTTTCTCTCTGTAGCATGATGAGAGTTTTTTTTTTTAGCATTTTTGTATTTGATTTGTAATTTTAACCACTTCTTGTGATTTAAGCATTTAAAATAATAAAATGCCAATTAATACAAGAACAGGAAACACATTCATCACATTCCATCGAAATACCCAAATGCAATCAGGTATTCAGTACCAAAAAAGCAGACAATAATAACAGAACAAAACATAACAATAAGTTTATCCTCATCCTCCCTTTCTTATCAATTCTAGGACGTTCAAACCTGCGACATCGACTACATGAATCGCTACAGAGACTTTACATATGATCTTGATGCTTGGGGCGATTTTCCTGACTTGGTTCAGGAGCTACATAACGATGACATAAAATTGACGTTGATTCTGGTAACGTGTGCATGTAATTGGCTTGTTTACTTGCTTTCCCTGTTTTGTGTTTGTTTGTTTGTTATGGTGGATTCTTTGGATTGGGATGTTCACTTGTTTTATTGCATTTATGCACTTCTTTTTTTATTTGAAGATATTGAAGATATGGTTGCATTATTCTCTCTCTTTCTTTTCCTCTCTCTCTCTCTCTCTCTCTCTCTCTCTCTCTCTCTCTCTCTCTCTCTCTCTCTCTCTCTCTCTCTCTCTCTCTCTCTCTCCCTCTCTCTCTCCCTCTCCCTCTCCCTCTCCCTCTTCCTCCCTTCCCTCCCTCCCTCCCACTCCCCTTCCCTCCCTCCCTCCCACTCCTTTTCCCTCCCTCCCCCCCTCCCCCTCCCCCTCCCACCTTCTCTCCCTTCCTCTTTTTCTCTCCCTCTCTGATGCTCTCATGCCCCCCCCTCCCCTTCGCCCAGGACCCGGCGCTGGTGACCGACTGGCCGAACTACCCCCCCGGCCAAAGAGGGAAGGACCGGGACGTGTACATCAAATGGGCTTCTCCTGAGTACATACCCGGCGATCAGGACACCTCTTTTGCGGACTACATGGTCGGGTACGTGTGGCCGGATACCAAGACGGTTTTTCCGGACTTCCTGAATCCGGAGACGCAGGCTTGGTGGGGAGACGAGCTTAAACTCTTCCATGAGGTTGGTTTGCGAGGGTATTTTTATAAACTATTTATTCATTTTTATGTTTTCATTAAATGTTATTAATTTTAGGGTGGTCTTTTTAATGCTTGTCTGTTCTTTTTTGTTTCCATTGGCTTAGTATTTTTTCAGGATGGTGTTTTTTACTTTTTTTCTCTCTTTTTTCATGTGGCTTTATCATCTTTCTCTCTTTTCTTCTCTTTCTTTTGAAAAATCCTAGCTTTCGACACTTATATAGGTCGATATGAGCGATCCGGCCAACTTTTTTCTCGTTTCCTCCTTCCTTCCTTATCATCTTTTCCTCTTCCTCTTCATCAACCAGCTAACTTCATCACCTTTTCCTCTTCCTCTTTATCACCTTTCTCCCCTTCCCATTCTCTCCCTCTCTGCCCTTCAACGCCCTGTAGATCGACATGAACGAGTCGTCCAACTTTATCATCTCTTCCTCTTCCCCTTTATCATCTTTCTCCCTTTCCCATTCTTTCCCTCTTTCTCCTAAAAGACACATGGACATGAACGAGCCGGCCAGCTTTTCATCCTCCGTCTATCTCTCATTTCCTCCATCCTTCTTTACCATCTTTCCCTCTTCCTCCCACCTCCTCTTTATCACCTCTTCCCCCCCTCTAAAGACTCTCTCCTTCGACGCCCTGTGAATCGACATGAACGAACCGGCCTGCTTTTCATCCTCGGTCTATCTCTCATTCCCTCCATCCTTCTCTACCATCTTTTTCTCTTCCCCTCACCTCCTCTTTATCACCTTTATCACCTCTTCCCCCCCCCCCTCCCTTCAAAGACCCTCTCCTTCGACGCCCTGTGCATCGACATGGACGAACCGGCCTGCTTTTCATCCTCCGTCTATCTCTCCTTTCTTCCATCCTTCTTTACCATCTTTCCCTCTTCCTCCCACCTCCTCTTTATCACCTCTTCCCCCCCCTCCCCCCCCCAAGACCCTCTCCTTCGACGCTCTTTGGATCGACATGAACGAACCGGCCAGCTTTTCATCCTTCGTCTATCTCTCATTTCCTCCATCCTTCTCTACCATCTTTTTCTCTTCCTCCCACCTCCTCTTTATCACCATTCTCTCCCCTCAAAGACCCTCTCCTTCGACGCCCTGTAGATCGACATGAACGAACCGGCCAGCTTTTCATCCTCCGCCTATCTCTCATTTTCTCCGTCCTTCTTTACCATCTTTCCCTCTTCCCCTCACCTCCTCTTTATCACCTCTCTCCCCTCCACCATTCTCCCTCCCCCCCCCACCCCAAAGACCCTCTCATTCGACGCCCTGTGCATTGACATGGACGAACCGGCCAGCTTTTCATCCTCCGTCTATCTCTCCTTTCTTCCATCCTTCTTTACCATCTTTCCCTCTTCCTCCCACCTCCTCTTTATCACCTCTTCCCCCCCCTCTAAAGACCCTCTCCTTCGACGCCCTGTAGATCGACATGAACGAACCGGCCAGCTTTTCATCCTCCGCCTATCTCTCATTTTCTCCGTCCTTCTTTACCATCTTTCCCTCTTCCCTTCACCTCCTCTTTATCACCTCTCTCTCCTCCACCCCCTCCCCCAAGACCCTCTCCTTCGACGCCATTTGGATCGACATGAACGAACCGGCCAACTTCGGCACCAACCTGGACAAGCCCTGGAACTGGCCGGCGGGAGAACCGGACTGGAGTTTGAAATGCCCGTTTAACCGCCTCGACAGCCCGCCTTATCCCACGAAGATGATCCGTGTGGGAGACAACAAGAGTCAGAGAATTAGGTGAGGCGAAGATAAAAGAGGGAGAGAGGGCGAGGGGCAGAGAGGGAAAGGGGGCGAGGGGCAGAGAGGGAAAGGGGGCGAGGGGCAGAGAGGGCGAGGGAAAGAGGGCGAGGGGTAGAGAGGGAGAGGGAGAGAGGGCGAGGGGCAGAGAGGGAGAGGGGGCGAGGGGCAGAGAGGGAGAGGGAGAGAGGAAGGGTGAGGAGTAGGGGGAGGGGAAGGGGGGAAAGAGGGGAGGGTGGGGAGAGGGAGAGGGAGAGGGAGAAGCTGAGGAGTAGGGTAAGGGAAAGGGGGGAAAGAGGGGAGGGTGGGGAGAGGGAGAGGGAGAGGGAGAGGGAGAGGGAGAGGGAAAGGGAGAGAGGAAGGGTAAGGAGTAGGGGGAGGGGAAGGGGGGAAGGGGGGAAAGAGGGGAGGGTGGGGAGAGGGAGAAGGAGAGGGAGAGGGAGAGGGAGAGGAAGAGAGAGAGGGAGAGGGGCAGAGAGGGAGAGAGAGAGAGGAAGGTGTGGAGTAAGGGGAGGGGAAGGGTGAGGAGTAGGGGGAGGGGAAGGGGGGGAGAGGGGAAGGTGGGGAGAGGGAGAGGGAGAGGGAGAGGGAGCAAATCCAAAGACATGCACGCACATGCGTAAAGGTCATAACTATAAACATAAATGGAAGAGGAAAATGGACTGGTTAGATTCATATGGTAATATTACAATAATAAAGATAGTAGTAATAGTAATAGTAGTAATAATAAAAGTAGTAGAAGTAGAAATAGTTGTAGTAATGATTAATCAAACCAAAGGTCATATAGCACTACTATTAGTAGTATAATAATCATAATGATGATGATGATGAATCTAACGATAATGAGTAATGGAGATGAAAATCAAATAATAATGATGATGTTAACAACAATTATAACAGTAGTGATAATAATGAGGATGATAATGGTAATGATAATAATAGTAATTATAATAATGATGATGATAATAATAACAATAATAGCAAGAATAATAATTAGTTTTGTTATAATAATGATGATGATGATGATGATGATGATGATGAAAATATAATAATAATAATAATAATAATAATAATA